GAAATATGACTAAAGCGCGAGTGCAGGTTTTCGACAAGCAAGTCATCAAAATAAACCCAGTACAAAAAGTGACAAAAATGAATTGTCAGAACTTAGGAAGCGAAAACACAAAAGATTGGTTTGTGTTTGTCAGCCTATTGTGAAACGTTATCGCCCTTATACAAAACAAAATGTCGAGATTAGGGATCGTGTGCTCATAGAACACGGAACTGAGCACCGCTTTGAAGTTAGAACGATGGATTGGAAATTTACAAGTGTCGCCCACCATACGTGATCGGGACAGCATAGTAGTTAATCGCATTAAGCAAACAAGAAAAGGATTTCAAGGAAAAACACACCTTTTTTTGTTTCGCCTCTTCTTTTAGTCTCTGAATCTCTTCTATTGAAAGGGAGGACAATATGGGGGCAGTACTGAGATTCTGATCCTTTGCTACGGGACTACGAGATCTGTTAGAACTTGAGGATGAATTCGACCGCTGACGTTGCTTTTTATGTTTCGTGTGAGAATGATGCTTCTTTTGTGAGTGTGGGGATGAAGATCGATTTTTGTGGGAGTGTTTCGAAGAATGATGATAATCAGCATCGCGACTGGAGTGTTTATAGTCATTCCGGTGAGGCCTTGATCTGCCACTCGGAGACCGACTCTTACTAGGAGCCATCTAAAGGAACGTTTAGGAATCCACGCGAAATCACTGTACAAAGGGGATAGTTTCAAAAGTGTAGTTTGAAAAGCCAAGTATATTTGCAAAAAAGCTAAGAGTGTCTAAAATAATAATCGATTATTGTGGAAAAGGCGGCGAATCCAGCTGCTCCTGCCAATCCAGCCTGTAGTCCAGCTATAACACAGTAAGTGAACGATAAATAAGCATACCTCGAAGACCAATTGCTCCACCAACTATACTTCCGGTCAACGCGCTGTTTAAAAGGTCAGATTTTCCTCGGTACTTAATGGGGTCAGATAAATGCACTTTTTCTTACACTTTCAATAACGCATTCTGTTCCTGCGAATAAGGTCCCAATAACTGCAAAATTTTTCCCATACGAGATTGAACGGGCATACATTTCTTTGGCAACAGCCTTGGTCGTAATATTTTCTGACGTTGTAACCGTACTCAGAGGATCTATGCTTGCTGTAAAGAGACCAAAAACACCACCAATGACAAGACCTTAACGGACGGTTGAGATAAAATAAAATACTTGCCTCCAACGCAACTGATAGCTGACTTAAAGGGGCAACTATCCATAACCTTGTGAACAGTAATTTCTTCCGGTGTAGGCAGCGGAAAAGAAGGTAGCTTCATAATAGCCATCGAGTTGAAATTTCTTGTAATGTGGCTGGATATGACACACTTAAGAACCGAGGGATCGTCTGCATCAAGGCCCTTCTTCAGGCCAGTGGATAACTTGGTAAGCCGTTCGCGAGATTTTTCGTCTATTTGGAGAATGTGTTTGTATCTTTGGTAAAGTAGCTGCTGCACTTCTGCGGCAGCATATTCCCCCACGCGCTCAGTTTGAGCCATTGACAAACAATCCGGGGGGCGCAAGCGAGGGCGATGAACTAATGATCCAATTTCGCGTCAACTTTTGTTGGTTTTTGTGGTTACGCACTGCCATGTGATTGGAGGA